TACTAGTACTCCTACTCCTACTCCTACTACTGCTACTCCTTCTCCTACCCAGTACTACAGCTAGAGCTACTACTGATAATACCATTATTGTTCTTGTTCCTGCTACTGCTGCTTCTGCCACCACCACTACCAGCGCCAGCACCCTAGGTTACTAGCTGTCCTGCTGAAATGGACACGACATAGGCTGGGGCCTGGACAACGGTGCCCGCTCCGCGCTCCTGACTCTGCCTCCGGAAGCACAGCAGGCAGAGTCAGTGTTCGGGTTTCGGAACTGTTGGCAGAGGGAGGTCTGGAGAGCTTGCCTGGCGCTGCCATCAGGATAATATACAACAACATAGAGGTTTGGGAACTAGAGGCTTGAGCCTGTGGGGTTTGGCGAAAGCTGTCAGCTTTGAGGGCTCTCATCGCCGACTGCGAGATGCTGTTATGCGCACTGTACTTGGGATTCGGGGCGCATATTCTGAGTCATATTTCTGGCGATATCTAGAAAACCTACATGTGCGATTATCCGTCTCATGGCAAAGGTTCAGACTCAGATGTGCGAAGGACGCTGCTCCCCGCGCAATAACCTACGCCCCCAAAGCCCAAAGGCCCTAAAGTTGGAAACCCGGAATTTAAATCCCAAAACCCTACTACCCTAACCCAGAGATGTGCAGAGGCCGCCATGGATGGCTTCAGTCCTTCCATGTCGACGGAGTGCACGAGCTTGGCCCACAGGAGGGTACATTCAGGGGGATTTGAAGGACTAGGCTTTTGGTGCTTGGGGGCTTGGGGTGGTTTGGGCTTTCGGGGGTTGGGGATTTCGGGTTTAGGATGTCAGTGCTAAGGGTGATTTAAGGCTTACGTTTTCAGATGTTTGTTTTCAGTGGCAGAACGCAGGACACACAAATTCGCATTTTGACGGCGTATCCTCCGCCTCCTTATCGATATTCTGCATCCAACCTTGCCGCAGATGACTTTCAAAAATGACGGCCCTTCAAACGCAGAACCCTGAACCTGAGATCCCAACCCAGACTTCCCAAACACTCCCAAACCGGAGCCCCAATGGGACGCCTTCCCTACCCATGGGCTCCAAAGTAGCTCCTTTTAGGGGCTACCTTATATATAGGATCCTAACTAGGAACCACAAAAAGGAACTACTATGGAGCCTATGGGTATGGTAAACCCTTGTCTCCTTACCCTCGCAAGCCTCAAGGCCCCTCTGACCCGAGGTCGGAGATTCATCGCATACCTGCGCTCGGTGCTGCTCTCAGTCAGACCTGGGTTGTTTCGAGACATCCGGAGTCGGGGGTCCCAGGGGTCAGGGTGCTTCGGGCCGGTAGAAGAAGGTTGCAGCAAGTTCCTACGAATCCCGAACTTTGACGTTGCATCCAGTATCCAATTTTGTGTCTTCTCTTGCTGAGGCGTCCCTTCTAAGTGTGGCCCTATTTGTAAAGGCCCAGTATACGGTATCTTGGCTTGATTGGCAAGCAACTGGTTCATGGAGGTACCAGTAGGGCCGTTCCAAAATTTTGTCAGGCCCCTTTTACCCTTAAAGGTAGAATCAGCCCGAAACCCAGAAGTATCCACGCAGCCAGGCCAAGCCACACTTGAACCGCAAGGGCAAGTCTGGCGGCAAAGGGCACGCCCCGGGTTTTGGAGATGCGGGAAGAGGGGGGGGGCCTTATCTTTCGAAAACGCCCAGAGTTTGTGGCAAGTTGTTCAGAAATCGAGCTCTCTTAGCAAACGGATGGCAAAGAAATCTGTCGGTGACACTCTGCCCCTCGGATCCCTGGGCATATCGTGATGTGCTGAGAGAGCCGACCTATTGCTCAAAAGACCTAAGCTTAAGTCTGGCTGCGAAGCCTAACGCAGTCAGTTCATCTGGGAGTTTCCGGAAATTCGGGTACCTTAATCTAGGGGCCTTATACTAAGGATCCTACTGTTTAGGGTGCTATATTAGGGTTCCCTATTTTCGGAAACCCCCATCTCAGGTCATCAAAAGGAGAGCTCTCGTGTCCCCAAAGGTCTGCAATCCCCCTGCCTTAGCAGCCACGAGCTTCGCACATGCAGGCGTCAACCAAAGGTGTATTCGGAGCCGCCGTTGGAACCAGGCCGGCACGATGCAACAGCACCTACGAGGGGTAGGAGCCCGACAATTGTGGGCTCGCGCAGGTAGTCTCACCAAAGCATGGGCATGTTGCTGACACATCTCCAAATGGGGCTCAAGGTTCGGTGTCTAAGCCATCGCCGTTGGGAAGTGCCCGGATTACCTGAATGTTCTGCTGCCCTGCTACAACCAGGCCTGATGCTCCAACCGCAAAGAGCTCGGGCACCTGGAGTGAACGGTCACGGACCTTTCAATAGGAATCTGAAGTCGATCTGCACCTCGACAGCCCAGTCCCTTGTCAGATCTGCCGCGAGTAGCGGTGCCGAGGTGGCGGTCGTTGCAACTGGCCCGATGACCATGATGCCAAACTGATGCCGAGCGAGGCAGGTAGCAAAACTTACAGGCCAAACTCATGCTATGTTGCGTTACAAGGAGAGGTATTGAGTCGATGTCAAAAGCCGTGACCTGCACGGTGGCCAGTTGGAAGCTTATACCACAAATCCTTGTGTACGCTAGACCGATGTTTTGCATTAAGTCACAGTCCGGTGCTGTTATCCTATGCCTTCCCTCGCGGAGAGGGGAGCTATGGGTTATGAGTACTTAGTCTTAGCACCCTTATCACTGACATGATTGCTATTTGTTATGATTTAACTGCCTTGTTTGAAAGCAGCCAAAGGTTAGCCACCTTCGTTTGGTGACTGCTGCCCTCTTTCATTGTGGGGTTACCAACTAGAATCAAGCTGGGATCATGCAGTAGCTGGTGGCATCTAAGGCTAGTAGTATTCATGACCGCAAGCACGCTACTGAGAACAGTGATGATGAATTCCGTTGGCACGTTGTCGAGCCCACTCCTTGTCTGAACTGCCAGCTGGCAGTTCCATGTTTTATAGTGATGAAGCGCTTTGCGAGTGCTTTGCAGGCGCTTGCTGTCGACTTTTCCCCATGGCAGTCCAAGGGAGCTTGCCTTTGGCAGGAGCTTGGCTTTGGCATGTCTCTTCTCTGCGCTGGCTGTACAAAGCCGACGCAGTGTCAAAGCAGAGCTTGTGGAAGCTTTTCGTTTAACACCCGCAGATCCTTCTTCGAACAGCCCCTTTAGTCCAGCCAAAGACACAGAGACACGGTGCTGCATCGTTGGGCTGTTTGAAGAGGACGATGACAAGCAGTCAGATTGTGAGACCTACAGAGCCAGGAGTCGATTTCTGTTTCGTGCTGTGAGGCGCAAAGTAAGCCAGCTTCTGAAGAGCGAACAGACTGGCAGGAAACATGGGAATTCGTGTATTTGTACAGGCTTCCTGTGTTTGCCGGACAGGCTTTGGCGCCCTCACTTTCCTACAGTTCTGCATACCATTCTAATATACTCTAATATTCACCATAGTCATAGCCGTATCTTCTATTGAGGCATAAATGTCCTGGTCTTGACGCAAGGAGATCTCCTTCGTCCTAGATCCAATGGCTGTCGGTCTCTTGCGATGCGCTGGCACAAGATCGGGTCTTGTGAAACAGCCCGAAGTGCAAGAAGGTACTTACAGGACATAAAGCAGGGTTAACATTACTGTTTTGAGCCTTATGGTTTAGGTTTGAGGCAGGCTTCAGTAGGGATTTGGTGAGTGTCTCAGAAAGGGCCGCTTCTGAATGTTGGTGGGCTTGCTACAGTAGTACTGCTAGTACGTCGAAGACCTTCATCACATCTGATATTTTTTTGCATTCTGTCGTTAGCTTTGCAGCGGGCCAGAAGTCATCAGTTATAGCTTAGTGCATGCAAGGTAGGTCACGTTGTTGGTACCTTCACCATTCTTCTTGTAGCACGGTGTCGCCGCCCAAAGCGAGCGTTTCAATCCTTGCTGGCATTGAGGTGTTTGCTTCGACGATCCTATGAATCGGCAGTTGCCTCAAGCTCACCTGCAATCCCTGTAGACGAGCTCGGTGTCTTAGTTAGCATCCCACCGTCGTCACAACTGCGCAGAGCGTGGACTTCAGTCGCCAGCAAGGAACGGAGCCTGCGGGCACAGCGCCGAGAAAAGAGTTGACTTGGACTTGTGCCCCCTGAATCAGTCTTGGTGTGTCAGACTTGACGAGAGAATTGGAAAGGTTTCGTTCAAGGTGTTAATCATGGCTTAGCAGCAGCCTGACCATGAACTGTGCCGCAGTGAGTTCAAGCTTCGTCGCGGAGTTGCTGTTCCGACTGGTTTGCAGTCATAGGCTCCTTGGCGAGAAGGTAGATAGGCGAAGCATGCTTGTCAGAAGGCTCCGGAACGGCCGTGGAATGTCTTGAGAGAGTAGGATGCTGCAGTGCAAGTTTGCTGGCATCAATATTTGTACCTGCAGACTACGCGCCAACGGCCAGCTGCCATGCAGAAGGCATCAGAAGACTCGCCGGCTCAAGCTGAGCAGGCGGAGCTCGAGTTCTTGTGTTTAGAGGTGTTTGTTTGCTTGCGGGATCTCGTGGGTGTAGTTCCTAAACACTCGGCGAGGAGGAGGCTTTGCAGCCTGAATCTACTGTCGGCGACTTTCCAAGCTGCAAATCCCGATCACGTGGTGTGGCATCTCACTTGAGAGCTTGATCCCTACTTGCAGCCTTTTGCAGGCACCCATCACCGCTCTCCTTTCCTGCCTCTCCCTTCCCGGCTTTGCAAGATGGCCACCAAAATCGACGGGCACATTGGCTTCGCGGGTGATCTGACCCCAACGACCGCCAGCGATACTTCAGCAGCTGGCTCGCCCAACGGCTCAGAGCCTGCATCTCCGAAGAGAACGTTTATGAAAAACGAGGTCTTGGCTTGGCAGCAAGAGCTCCTTCAGGAGTTTTCGTCACCTGCCTTCCAAAAGAGACTGCGGCAAGCTTCCAGTCTGCAAGCGGCTGAGTACGAGAAAGCCCGAACGGCTTTAGTGCGCGATGCACACTGGGCCGTGGCTCCTCAGCACGGCTTCCCTGCCACGGACTTAGGCATTGAGCAGATGCTCTTGGCCGTGGACCAGTTTCTGGATGACATGGATGTGTCCGTCAACCAGCAGATTATCCAGGAGCACCTGGTGGCGTGCGAGGTGCCAGCGCCTTTCAAGGAGCAAACGGCTCTGCCGCTGGGTCACGACAAGAAGGCGCTGGGCAGGAGAGATGTAGTCAGACTGCTCAAGAGCCTCCAGGTCAGTTTCAGCGAGCCAAACTTTCAGCAGGAGCTTGCGAAGCTGAAGGAATCGGACATGAAAGCATCTGGCATAGCAGAAGCCATGGGATTCCTCCAGCTTCCTGGACGAAATGAACTTGCTTTCGCCATCCAGGAGCAGTTGGCTCCTTGCTTTGGCTTTGAGGCCAGCAAGCAGGGGATCCTCGCAATGATCTCGACGTGTGCGCAGTTCCTGATGGATCCGGAGATCGCTGAGCTGTTTGATGCCGTCAACATGTACCGTCCTCAGTTGCGAAATCACCTTTAGACCGCCTTTTGTCTTGCTCCGTAAACTCGTAGTGGGGCACTGCGCTAGTGCATGGCAGGAAGTTGGGCATGACTCCGGAAGCATGCAAAGCCTTCCGAGCGAAAGTACTGCCGCAAACATGTGGATGACTTGGCAGCCCTGACATGTCTTGAAAATCGGCATGATGGTGGGCATGGGAAGTGTCAGAATGGTCCGAATGATGCTGATGGTGCTGTTGCTGATGACGTTGATTCTGATCCCTTTTCGACGATGATGAAAGTGATGGTACTCCTTTGATGATAGTGATAGTGATGGTGTGATGATTACCAGCAGCTCTTCGACTTCTTCATAACAGTTGTGTCGCCTTCACCACCACCACCACCACCACGACCACCACGACCACCACGACCACCACCACCACCACCACCACCACCAAATCATCCACCAAATCATCATCCACCAAATCATCATCATCATCATCATCGAATCATAGTGTCATAGTCCTCATCATCATCATCATCATCATCGGTTGAAAGCATCCTTGTTGCCGTAGTAGCCATAGTAGGTTTGCGGCAGCGGAGTGCCAGGGACTGTGCCTCGCCGACGGATGCGCACTGAGCGGCCAGAATTGTGAGCTCCGGGAACTCGCCAGGGAACCCTTCTCCACGCGAACTTTCTCGCTAGATCTTTGGGGTCATCTTTGCAAGCATTGGGGGCAGTTTTGCGTCGGCTTGTGGTTATTCGTGTGTAGCAGTGCATCCCCAAACCCATAGAGGCCTTAGAGGTTGGGGCCAAGGATCAGCATTAGACATGCCCTCATATCGCTGCTACGGCACTTTCTCGCCGAATCTGCCAGGGCTTGTTGATCGTAGGCTCCAAAGACCAAGTGCAAGTTTCCGGCAGCGCTTCTCACCTGTTGCATTTTTAGAATACTTGTGACGGCCATACCCATCGTTGGACGTTTTGCCGTAATTCCTGGCTCGACCATTCAAGGGGAGGAAGCGCAACGATGATGTAGACATACGGCGATACTACGTCAGGAGCACCGGGGTGACGCATGTGGCTTGTAGTGAACCTTCCTTCCCGAACAAGGCTTTCCCTTCCGTGGCTGGAGGCCTTTCGCACACTCTTAGCCAGCTCTTCGCTGACTGCCACTTCTCGGAAGGGGCCCAAAAGGGCATGAATTCGCAAAGGGAGGTGGCAAGTCAGCGTTTTTGAACGTTGAACAGCATCGGCTCGCTCATCAAAAGGAGCCATGAGCGCTGACAGCAAGGCACAGATGCTTACTTCAGCACAAGAAGCATGTTATGAAGTGTATATCCCGACTAGGATAACTCAAAGTTACATCCCCAATACATACTCAGACATTCCGGAGTTCGGCTGCCCCTCTGCTGCAGGCAATCGTCGATGCCAAGGAGTGGTGAGGTCCGCATCTTGTCCGAGCTCCTAGGCCAAGTCACCCAAACAGGCGATTTCATGGGTGTACTAGTAGTGCCTTAATGACCCTTAATGATAAGAATGGGAGGGGTATGACCCGAGGACTCTGCGGCCCACTCCGAATAGAGCTATACTATAAACTTTCCCAAGACTCTATCCTAAAATAATTAAATAATCAACAAACAAATAAATAAATAAGTATATATATATATATATCATGTGTTTCCCGACGCCTACATAAACCCCAAACCTTAACCGGCACGAACTCAGCACCAGAGGCTCGATTTTTTTGGCTTCAGGATCACTTCATCGTGTAGGGACCTGGATAGTAGGATTTTTGGACTTATGCCATTAAGAAGCAAGCAATGGCCAAGGTGATCAAAAGCCCCCAACTCAGCAGGCAAATGGAGACACAGGTAGTGTTGACTTTTTGGCATCTAGTGCAGGCTTGGGATGACTCAGGGTTTGCTTTGGTCCTGCCAGCGAAGGCTCACCACAGAAAGGAACACTGCAAAAGAGCCCCGAATTGAGGCAGTAAAATTTGGATAATCTGGGGCCGGAAAGTTTTCTACAACTCAACCCTAAACCCTAAACCCTGTTTTCTACAGCTTTGTTCTCTACGAGTTCCCCTTTTCTCCCCCTCTTCGACGCCATGCCAAAGAGCTACGAGCGGAAGCTGCGAGAGGCGGAGGAGCGAAGGAGACCTCGCGCCAAGGAGCCGGGCAAGTAAAGGCTCTTAGAATTTAGGGTTTAGAATTTAGGTTTTAGGGTATAGGGCGTAGGGTCTAGAGCTCTTATTTGTAAGACTTCGCGTCCTGGGGAGTATAGAAGGGCTGTTCTAGTAATAGGGCTTCCTATGAGGGTTCTAGTTGTGGTGCTGACGTTTTGCGTGACGTCATGATCTTCTTGATGGGTTTCCACAACAAGGGGTGAACATCCCGCTCGACGGGGCATGGTTTCGCAGGTGCCGTCGGTTTGTATGAACATTCGGTCATCAACCGCGCAGGCACGAACAGCTGCTATATGCCCACATCCAGAAACAACCAGTAGTCACTCATACGTGTCCTGCATGTTTGCTTGTTCGTCAGGCGCACTGCCGGTTTGCGCCGCGTGACTAGGTGTCTGTACATGTGTATCTGATGCAGGAGACTATGACAGCAGCACGTTGTGACATGCTACTCCACTTCGTCATGCGCTATAGCATGGTTTCATGACCCTGAAGAAGAGCTGTCTCTAGCCTGAAGGAAGAGCTGTACAAAGCGGTGGAGGGCAAGTCTCAGAGGACTTTCCACTTGCAAGAAGCCGGGTTTGCATGTGAATCACGCAGAAAACCGCTGGAATCCTCTTGGCAGCAGCGAAGGCAGCTTCGACAAGCAGTGGTTTATCCTGTCTGCCCAGGATCATGCTCGGATTCGATCACCCGGAAACTCTCCAGTTCGAGATGCAGCTGACATGGGTCGAAGACACCTGGACGGACCCTTGGCCCAATAAAGAGAGTATTAGCAATAGTACTACTACTTGTAGTTGTAGCCAGTTTCGTAATGGTAATTATCAACGACAGAAACAGGAAGAGCGTTCGGAACCGTCATCAGACTACTCAAAATAGCAATCTTTGTGCGAGCTTGTGGTTGTCTTGGAGCCTTCGCCAAGGTGGACCAGCTGCATGACCACCTTATGTCGGAAGTCCGGCGGCTGGATGCCGAATACAGGCGGCTGCTTGTGATAGCAATGGTTTAGGGGCTTAGGGGTTAGGGGTTACAGCTTAGGCTTAGGGTATGCGCCTTGACCCAGAGGCGTAAGCCGCTGCGTGGGAATTACTCGCAGAAGTACCTCTGGTTTGACAGGCCCCTTGGCCGAGCCGTCTCGTTTCTGGATTGTGGCGAGTGCAAGGGGACTTACGTTCATTGTGACTTTCACATGTTCGCTTTCTTTGGGGATGTTCTCGGAGAAGTTTAGGAATTGGTGGCTGCTGCTAGCTCTGTCAGACTTGCATCCCCAGAAGACCGCATGCCCAAGGTTTGTGCTGCGGCCACGCGTGCAGGGCCGTGAGCTGACGCTACAGGATTATGGCATTGACCCGTCCTCAGACCTTCGGGAGAACCCGAAAGTCCGAGCGCCCTGTACACTTGAGCCCCGCAAAACAGCGAAAGCCCAAAGGCGCCTAAGCCCTTTCCGCCTAAACTCATGTATTAAGACCTAAGACTCACGCCGAGGAGCCGGGCTATCGAGTCAAGGTCAGCCCGTGCCTGGCTGAGACGACCTCATGAGATGGCACTGAACAGAAAATATTCAGTTTTGGCGGTGTTCTGTGAAGTTGCCTGCAACATGAATAAGGTAATAGGAGTGCTATGTAGAATTAGACAGATTTCTGCGATCGTCGTCAGGTTCTACCAGTCAGAGCAGATGTGGGGCCAGCCATTCCCCTTTGACCACAGATGCTCGTTTGCAAGGGCGTGAAGCGATGAAACCGGCTGTGGCCCGCCAGAAGACTTGCAATTAAGACTTCCGAATTCCCCTGAACCCACGTCCCTGTTGTTCATACACTGTGACTATCTCACAAAATCTCACTCTCGATGCATGCATGCGTGTATGGATGTATGGATATATGCATGTATGTACGTATGCACGTGCATAGGGATGTATGTAGGTTTGTATTTACGCACGCGGGAAGGAAGGAAGGAAGGAAGGAAGGAAGGAAGGAAGGAAGGAAGGAAGGAAGGAAGGAAGGAAGGAAGGAAGGCAGGAAGGCAGGGAGATACGATAGGACACAGCACAACAAGACAATACATACAACTAATTACATAGATGCATAAGTAATCATACAGATATTATCTAAAAAGACAGACCATATATACATATATATATATGTACACACACATTTTTATATGTGTATTTATCCTTGCACATGTACGTGCAGTAAGGTCAGCATTCCAGAAGCCTCATATGCACCAACCCGCTAACCCCAGTCTTCGCCCAGGCAAGGAGCGACCTCTGGATCAGATGACGCCCTGTGAGGCGTCGCCTTTCCGGAAAACGTTTATTCAGTAGAACATTTTGAGTTAGTATGTTGGTTTGATGGGCATTACATGACTTCGTACTCGTAAATCTTGCATAACAGCATCACACATAGAGTCACCCTCTCACTCCCCCCAAAAAATCGAGCATGCGTGCAAGTCCCGCTAGCTTGTGGGCTGAACGCTTGGAAGCTCTCATCTCGGGGGCCACGGCTTACCACTCCCACAAATCACCACCGTAGGTCCATTGTCAAGCCTTTCAAGAGCTCCAAAAAGGGCTGCGTAGCTCAAAGACATCGTGCTTCGACTCGTTTCACTCCTCCGAGTGTCGGCCGAATCAAGCGTCGTGAGGCATTGTAAGAGAGTGTTGTGCGAACGCTTTCGCCAGTGTACTATGGAGGCGGGATCAATTACCTCAGCATTCTCACTAATAATGCATTCCTATTCGAATTATCAAGGCCCCTATATTCCATAGGACTCCTTGTTCTTGTCGGCTCGGCAGTCCGCACTACCAAGGTGTTCTAATTAATGCGGTTTAGGGCTTAGGATTTTAATTGTTAGTTTAGGGTTAGCTATCACAACAACTGCAGTCATGAGGATGGGCTGTGGTGCTCTTGCAGATGCGACTTGTGTATATTGTTTTGTATCGTCACTGCGATTTCGCCTACCCCATGCATGCTACGTGATGCTAGTAATTA